TACTGTTGAAATTATTAAAAGTAAAATTTTGTTGTAGTTTGTAGGTGTTTATTATCCTTGTTACAAAACTAGAAGGAATTAAATCTACTTAGTACTGAAACAGCATTCAGAAAATTCCCTCCTTTATTTTACAGGTTAAAGAAAATACAGGAGAAGAAAAAGATTCTCAAGGAAAAATCGGAGAAGGACTTGGAGCAGCGGAGGGCAGCTGGGGAGGTGATGGAGCCTGCTAATCTTCTGGCTGAAGAGAAGGACGAGGATCTTCTGTTTGAATAATCTTGCCTGCTCTGGTTCTTTCAGAAGCCCTAACATGGCACCATTTTAATTCACAGTGTGTAGGTTTGGTATGTGAGGCTATTTATTTTTTTGGCTTAAGAATTTCACTGGCTGTAAAATTTCCCTGGATGTCTGTCTATGGGATTGCCTTTGCAAAATCATAATTCAGCAACCATTTATCACAGAAAAGATTTGTAGAACCTACCCAAGAACTTAAAAAATTTATTTTGTAGACGTGTCACCCTACTCCCTTTACATCTGTTACAAGTGATCTGCTTACCAAGCATATTAGGAAAGCCCCATTAGGAAATGGCAGTAGTCTCAGGCCAGCACATGGAGGCCAACTACTGCTGGAGCCCCTTTGTTCCTGCCCACTTGCACTCCTTGGCACTGTTACCTGAGATCCTGCAGCCATCCCTGTGTTCCTGTGGTACTTCTCTCCTCAAGCTTCATGAAAACCTTCACTTATTTTTCCATGCATGACAGGTCTCTGTCCTGTCTATCATGGGAGCAGTTCTGCCAATTTAAATGTGACTATGGTATAAACAGTAAAATGATTTAAAAATGAATTGTTCCTTTTTTTTATTAATTTACTGCTAAGACTAACAGTCATGTTCTTATGCTCAGACTGGCACATGGGCTTGTCTTCCAAAAAGAGCTTTCTCTGCAGGCATGTAAGAAGTGGGTAGCCTCCCTTTTTTTCTCCCTTCATTTATCAGTGTTTTACTAATAAGCTGAGATGATTATTGAATTTTGGGGTACTAATAAATGTATGATTGCCAGTGCGTTAAGAGAGCTTATTAATACTTCTTTCCTAATCTAAGAAAAAATACTAACTCCCATTTGGGAGTAAGTAATAAGGTAACTGTCTACTATTTTATAAGCAGTAACCACTTACCGTCTTCCATATAGGAAGATGAGGCATTTGTGTGGCCGTTATCAGGAGGTGACAGGTTTTTCACGCTGTTTGATTTGATGTGAGCTATCCATGATCACTCAGGCTTTCTTGTACCCAGTTCCAGGCATTTTTGACATGTCTGGCCATGGAACAGTTTTTAGTTAGTGAAATTGTAACACTAGCCTTATTAGTATTGTATTTAAATCCATTGGTATCACAGCCTAGGCTCTCTAAAGTACCAAGTAATTTTGCAAACATTTAACACCTGCTATAAAATAACAGATCTTAGTTATGGCCAGGCACCGTTTTGTGTGTTTTATATGTGTTTTTTATATATATTATCTCACCATTAGCCACCATAAGAAGTACATATTATTTTAAGCCCACATTTCACAGAAGATTTTGAGGCACAAGGAGCTTGAGTAATTGGTCCTAGGTCAAAAAGCTAGAAAGTGAGGAATTCAGGATTTAAATCCAGGCAGTCTACCTTCAGAGTTTTTACACCTTTAACTGCTATCATTTCTGCCTCTCCTATATTTAAAACTTGAGATAAAGCTAAGACATAGGGCCTGTGCTGGATGAGCTGATTTTTAGGAAATCCTGTTGTTGCTCATAGAATAAAATCTCAGATTCAGTATAAATTCAGTAGTGATTAGAAAACCAACAGCTGAGTTCAGAAGTAAGTCTTGAAAATAGGTAACATCATTGAACTGCTTAATATGTAATCCTCCCAATACCCTGGTGAGGTGTAGATACTATCATCTCCATTTTGCAGATGAGGAAACAGGTTGGTCAGGTCAAATAGCACAGCTAGCATGCAGACTAAGTGTATCTTGATTTCAGAGCCTTGGTTCTTAAGTACATACTGCCTCTCTAGGAGGCAAAAATTAGTTTGAAGGTAAGGGTAGAGAGCCAGATTTTTTAGTGGTTTTTCATTTAGGTAAATTGAATGTCCACCTTAAAGCATTGATCCATAAGTACCTTAGATTTCTCCTGTGGCTTCTTAAAGCTCTGGTATTTATTGGCCTTGGCTAAACTCCCTTCAGAAGTGCAGATAATTTTATGGTTTAGCATGTTGTTAAAAAGAAATCAGGAGAAAATTGTGGATAATTTGTTGTGTAGGCTTGGGGTGATCTGATCCACAGGGGAAGGGAATAGATCAGGAATAGTAAAAAGCTGGACTGGGGTAGCAGGTGTGTATATGTGTGACACTTTTTGTTGGTATGTGATTTGCCTCCTTTGGGAGATATACAGTGGTATAGTAGAAAGAGGGGAGAAATGAAATGTCATATATTTTCAACAACTTATATCCTATCCTGAGTCTCCTCAAATCCTTGGCTGCATATAAGCAGAATTTGCCCAAGTATTACATACCTTCTTTTTAAATTTTATTTATTTTTTGGTGAAGACTATCCGTGAGCTAACAAACATCTGTACCAGTCTTCCTCTATTTTGTATGTAGGATGCCGCCACAGCATGGCTGATGAGCGGTGTGTAGGTCCGTGCCCAGGATCCAAACCTGCAAACTCTGGGCCACCAAAGTGGTGTGAACTTAACCACTATGCCACCCAGCCAGCCCCTCTTACGTACCTTCTTCCCCAGAAAACTTTCAAGTTCACAGCGTTGTCCATCTTTAATACAGGTGTTTTGTTTTGTGAGGAAGAGTGTCCCTGAGCTAACATCTGTTGCCAATCTTCCTCTTTTTGCTTGAAGAAGAAAGAGTGTCCCTGAGCCAACATCTGTGCCAGTCTTCCTCTATTTTGTATGTGAGATGCCGCCACAGCATGGCTTAATGAGTGGCGTGTAGGTCCATGCCTGGGATTCGATCCCATGAACACTTGGC